TTGAAAAAGAAAGCGTGGGCGCCTGGGTGGCTCAGTCGTTAAACGTCTGCCTTTGGCTCAGGTCATGATTCCAGGGTCCCAGGATCGAGCCCCACATTGGGCTCCCTGCTCTGTGGGAAGCCTGCTTCTCCCTCTCCCACTCCCCTTGCTTGTATTCCCTCTCTCGCTGTGTCTCTCTCTGTCAAATAAATAAATAAAATCTAAAAAAAAAAAAAAAAAGAAAAGGAAAGCGTATCTGGAGGCATCACAATTCCGGATTTCAAGTTATATTATGAAACTATTTGGGAAGGCTCAGGTGGCTGGAATTTATGGGGTAGGATCAAGAGAACAGTTCTCTGCAAAGAAGAGTCCCAGAACTGTGCATAGGAATTTTCTTAAAATTTTAATACTACGTTGTGCATGTGCAGGGAGACTCCACATAACCTAGCAGAGAACAACTGCTGGAGAGCTGTGAGCTGAACGGTGATTCTAGAAGTTACACAGTACTGGGAAACAGGAAATTCAAAACACGTAGAGTGGATAAACACTTCTGAAAACCCGAGTAGTTTGCTAATACTCTAGAAAGTACACATTTTAAGTGTAGGGCTAAGTTAGACCTAAAGCAAAGCTACTCTAAATCTACCAGAAGCTTCAAAGTAGGCCTTGAAAGGATCAAACTGATTTGCCAGAAAATTAACTGGCTGCTATAAAAAAATCAATATTCTTGAAGTAAGATAACAAAATCCAAACTCTCAACAACATAGTATCCATGATGTACAGTATACAATAAAAAATGACTAGGCATTCAAAAAAGCTGGAAAATGTGATCCATAAGCAGGAAAAAAAGCAATCAATAGAAATAGAACTTGGGATTACCCAGATACCGGAATTAGAAGGTAGTATAAATATGTTTATTAACTTAATGGAAAATATGGACATTTTATATTGACCATAACTGATGTTCTTCCTTCCTTCCTATTGGGACTGTATTTTCATCTAAAGTCAATTCTCTTCAACCTGAAGAATTTCCTTTGATAACGAATAAATGGACAATGATGAGAGACAAACTCTCTAGAGGCCTGATACACAAAGGAAGCCATTTAAGATTTCTTTCTAAGTCAGCATGACTATATATAAACTTTGTTCAAACCAAAAGTCTGATTTATGATCAGCCATGTTTGCATTGTACATCTGCTTTGTGAATGAGTAGCCTAAAGGAGAACCATCTTCTCCTTGAGATATTTATTGATCAATGCTCCTAATCCCTGCATTCCTTGACATTAAAATTTGTGATTCCTGCCTATATGCTAATTATAATCTTTTGAGCTTTTACAAGATGTAAAAAACTATATATTCCTGTAAAAACTGTTCTTTCTCTGGAGCACTTTCTTTCCTGTGAAGAGCATGTTTCCTGGGCAGCTGTCCTAACTTGGGCTCAGATAAAACTCTTTCTTAGAGATTCTAAAAGGTTTGTTCATTTTGCGTCAACAATAGGAACCTCCGCAGAAAAACAGAATGTATAAAATAGAACTGAAAATGGAAGCTTTATGGGGCACCTGGGTGGCTCAGTCGGTTAAGCAGCTGGCTCTTGGTTTCAGCTCAGGTCATGATCTCAGGGTCCTGGGATAATGCCCTGTTTGGGCTCCCCACTCAGTGAGGAGTCTGCTTATCCATCTCCCTCTGCCCCTCCTCCCGCTTGCGCACTCTCTCTCTTAAATAAATAAATAAATCTTAAAAGAAAAAAAGAAAATGGAAGTTTTACAACTGAAAAAACTGAGATGAAAATTTCACTGAATGCGCATAAGAACAGATGGGAGGCATCGGAAGAAACAGTCAGTAATCACCATGATAGATCAATAATGATCCAATCTGAAGTACAAAAAGGAAAAAGATTGAAAAAACTAAACAGAAGTATTTATGGAACAAGACTTATAACTAAAGTTCTAGAATGAGAGGATTAACAGAATGTGGTAGGACAAAAACTATGACCAAAACTACCAAAATTCAACAAATAGAAAATCTTATAATCAGACAGAGAAAAACAATACATAAAATATTGGGGAACAAAAATATGAATAATGCTGACTTAATTAGAAATAGTGGTAGCCAAAAGACCATGGAATAATATCTTTAAAGCGCTAAGGAAAAGTATGTCAACTTAGAATTTTATTTCCAGAGAAAATATGCTTTTTTTTTTTTAAAGATTTTATTTATTTATTTGAGAGAGAGAATGAGAGAGAGAGAGCACATGAGAGGCAGAAGAGTCAGAGGGAGAAGCAGACTCCCTGCTGAGCAGGGAGCCCAATGCGGGACTCGATCCTGGACTCCAGGATCATGACCTGAGCCGAAGGCAGTCGCCCAACCAACTGAGCCACCCAGGCGCCCAGAAAATATGCTTTTAAAATGAAGATAAAATAAAGATATAGTCAGATAATTTAAATTTAGATTATAACTAGCAGAACTGCAGTTTAGAAAATAGTAAAGGAAATTCTTCAGGTTGAAGAGAATTGACTTTAGATGAAAATACAGTCCCAATAGGAAGGAAGGAAGAACATCAATTATGGTCAATATAAAATAAATATAAAGTATGTTTTCTTCTTTAAATGTTAGTAATATACATGACTGTTTAAAGCAAAATAATGCAACACTGTGTAGTGGGGTTTATAATGTATGTAGCTGGAAAAATCATGACAACAGTAGGACAAAGAATAAGAATTGTAAATGAAATGATAATGTTTACAAGGCTCTTATATTTTACATGGAGTAGTATAATATTAATTCTAAGTAAACTATGTTTAATAAGGATGCATATTGGGCGCCTGGGTGGCTCAGTCGTTAAGCGTCTGCCTTCGGCTCAGGTCATGATCCCAGGGTCCTGGGATCGAGTCCCACATCGGGCTCCCTGCTCGGCAGGAAGCCTGCTTCTCGCTCTCCCACTCCCCCTGCTTGTGTTCCTGCTCTCGCTATCTCTCTCTCTGTCAAATAAATAAATGGAATCTTAAAATAAATAAATAAATAAATAAATAAGGATGCATATTTTAATCCCTACAGCAACCTCTAACAAGATGCAGGAAGGTATAGTAAAGAGCCAACAGAAAAATTCAAATATATCAGAAAAAATTGATCAATTCTCCAAAAAAAGGATAGTTAATTAAAAAATGTGGCAAATAGAAACCAACCAAATAGTAAATATAAATCCAACCAAATTATTAATTACATAAATATAAATGGACTAAGTATTTCAATGAAAAGCCAGAGACTGTCACACTGGATAAAAAATGTGAAACCCAAATTACATGAAATTGGGGCACCTGGGTGGCTCAGTCGTTAAGCATCTGCCTTTGGCTCTGGTCATGATCCCAGGGTCCTGGGATCGAGCCCCGCATCAGGCTCCCTGCTCAGCGGGAGGCCTGTTTCTCCCTCTCCCACTCCCTTTGCTTGTGTTCCCTCTCCCGCTCTCTCTCTCTCTCTGTCAAATAAATAAATAAATAATCTTTTTAAAAAAATTACATGAGATCTACCAGAAACGTATTTTAAATATAAAATCACAGGTAGATTCAAGGGGAAAAAATGGAAAAAGATATACCAGCCAAGCAGTAAGCATAAGAAAACTAGACTGACTATACTAATACTAGACAAAATAGACATGAAGATGAGACACAGAAAAACGTTTCATAATAGAAGGGTCAATTCACTGGGAAGACAATCATAAATGTGAATATACTATACAATTGAGCTTCAAAATACATGAAGCAAAAACTGAACCAACTCAAGGGAGAAATAGACAAATCCAGAATTGTAGTTTTCATGTATCTCCTACTTCATATATATTCTATTTGCAAAATAAGATTGGCCTCAACATTTTTAAATAATTTCTAAAGTTTTGTATTCTTTTTTTAAGTTTTATATTCTTGAGAGAAGAACAACTTCTTCTATCAATTAACTCCTGTATCAAAACATTTGAGATGGGGAGGATGCTGCAGTGGTGGATAAATCCTGGTGGGCTTATCCTATTCCTTTCCTAATGAACCCAGGACATGACAAATTCAATGATTACTCCCTTGAGAAAGACTTCCGAAGATATCTTCCTAATGTTCACTTTTCAATCCTCTTCATCAGGAAGACAAAAACATAAATATAAGTACTTAACAGAGCTTGAAAATACTTGAAGTAAAACCTGATGGAACTAAAGGGAAAACAGAAATAGACACACTTCTCTCATACCTCTAATTACTAGATTTTAAAAAATCAGTAAGGATAAAGGACATCTGAATGGCAATTCATTAGTCCCCCCTTATCCTCAGAGGACACATTTCAAGACCCTCAGGGGATGCCTGGAAGGGTAGATGAACCCATATTGTTTTTCTTTCCATACATACATGCCTATAATAAAATTTAATTTATAAATTAGGCACAGTAAGAGGTTAACAGAAATAATAATTAAATAGAACAATTATAACAATATGCTGTATAATATAACAAAACTTATATGAATGTGTTCTCTTTCTCAAAATATCTTACTTATTGGGCCGTACTCACCCTTCTTCTGTGACGTGAGAGGATAAAATGCCTAATAATGCAAGGAAGTGAGGTGAATGATGTACACATTGTAACACAGCATTAGGCTACTATTGACCTCACCAAAAGAGGAGGGGATGGCAGTTGAGGGGCTGGTAACTAAAACTGAGGAAAGAGAAATGGCCGATAACGGGGTGGGGGGGCAAATTTATGGATCACCTTAACCTAACAGAATTTACAGAACAATTTGTTCAGAACTGCAAGAAGAAGAAAAAAAAAAAAAAAACCCCGAGAAAAGGAAGGAAGGGAAGGAGGGAGAGCGAGCAAGCGCGAGCGACCTTTCTGTGTCGTCCGCTCCCCGTTCTACTAGGGTTTGGGGATATTTTTATTGAGTACTTGATGTAGATCCACATTCTACTTGGGCATATATACTGAGCACCTGCTGTGCGCCTCGTACGTATATTATGTGTTTGCTGGTGTCAAGACTTCTTTCTAAGACCTACCAGGGATTTTTCAGCAACAAACACGACGCCAAGCTCCCAGAACGCGTTTCCTTCAGTCCGGGGCAGCCTCGAAGCCCCTCCCCTGGTAGCCCACCCTTAAACCCCAAGGGCCTCCCAGAGATCTCCTCAGCTCCAGCTGGCACCCGCGCTTGCGCACTCCGCGCAGGAATTTGGGGGAGGGGCCGGGCCCTCCCTACCGAAGACTACATTTCCCACAGGCCTCTGCTCCTAGTTTCCTTCCGGCTTTCTTGCTGGTGTCGGCTCGGAGAGGTGAGTTGGTCGCGTGCATTGAGGAAATGGGCGCGGGGGCGGCGTGGGGGCGGCGCGGGGGCGGCGCGGGCGCGGCGCGGGCCTCTGTGTGAACCGGGTTGCACTGACTGTGGAATTTGTGACGCTGACTGGGCATCGGGTGCCCTGAGGCGTCCTTTCCCTTTCCGCTTAAGGGCTGCACATATCCCTCGGCCCAGAATGGCTCCGAGTTAGATGTATGAGCCCCAGAGTGAAGGCCCCCAACAAAAAGACGCAGTCCTGAGAACTGCAGGTCTCAGAACCACAGCTTAATCAGAGCTCCCTCGTAAGGAAACTACTATGACTTCGGAGACAGATTCCAGACTCGGCCTTTGTACTCGGCCTTTCTCTGATACCGGGAAGGCTGAGCTTTTCCCCGGACTCCCTCTTAGTTCCGTCGTGTTCTGTGCGTGGTGGATGGTGGGAGCAAGTGTGATGCGGGGGTGTGTTCTGAGTTAGCCAGGCGGGGCTGAGTGCCAAAAAGGCTCAGTGCCTCAAGATTCCCGTCTCTTTTCCCCAATCCTGCTGATCTTTAGGAAGGAGAAAGAAAGGAGGAGATAAGCATTTGCACGTCTATAGCTTCTTTGTTCCGCGAAATGTAACTTTTATTTTTGCATCTCCTGGAAAAGAATGGTGAAAATCAGCGCGGACTGAAAAGAGAAAAAAGCAGCCCTTGCTTTAATCACGCTGGGAGAGAAGAGACAGGGAAAGCCAGCTGCAAAATTAATAGAAAGTATTATTTCATGCAATTGTGAAATGCTGTAACAACTCCCTCTTTGAACGATTACAGCTGTTTTACCAGTGATGCTCCAGACTCGCTTTGCCATTTTTTATTTTATTACTGGAGATACCCAATTGCTAAACTACCCTCCCTTCAAGATAACCCTTACTCTCCAGTTAATCCCTCATCTCAGAAACCGCAACCATTCCGTAATTGTTCCCTGCTTCCCATACATCCTTCAAAATCCTTCAGTTGGAACTCAACCCTTTACAAAAGAGCTTTTCTTCTCTTCCATTGCATTCCAACCCTTCCTGTAGAATTTCCTCCTTGAGTCAATAAATGTGGTTTTGTTGGACTATACAGGCTTGTTGCAGGTAGTCTTTAGCTGGTTAGGCTTTAACTCGGGAAATATCCTATCCGTAGACCTGGTGCTTTGCTCTTTTTTCCCAGTGAATGATAGGGGTGATGAGGTTACTTCCTGCCTCCTCTCCAGTGGGTATTCACATGAACATTTGGCAATCATTTAATTCCTTCTGTGAGCTGTTTCTTTCTAATCATTTAAATGGTTTGCAAATAAACCTCCTGAATGGGAGAGGCCAACTGCAGAGCTTTATTTTAGGCTTTGATTTGTTGAGAGGATTACAGTTTAGTTAGAATCATATGCTAGGTGTCTTTGATCTTCACCACTGCCCTGAATTCAGAAGCAGGCAAAGGTAGGAGATAGTTTGATTGGTGACAGGGTTTTCTGCTTTTGAGGCTTTTAAGGAGTTGAAATGTGACAGGGTTTTTAATGGAGAGGTCTGTGTTAAGGGAAGGGAATGGAAGATGTTAGTAGAAATTTGAGAAATGGGTTGAAGTTTTTGACAGCATGAGTGGTCAGGCCATATTATTTATGTGTTCTTATGAGAGGCAGTTTAGTTATGGAGCTAAATTACCAGTGTTCTGGTCCTAAAACTACCCCATTAGAGGTGGGTGAAATTGGGGTAATTTATTTCATCGCTGTGCCATAGTTCCTTCATCTGTGAGAGGATAATGATAGAAACTGCTGTATAGGATTGCTATGAATAGATGAATTAATATATATAAAGCCCTAAGATAATGCTTGACACATAATAAGTGCTCAGTAGATTTAATTGTTACTATTATGTTGTAATTCCATCTTTTTTCTCATCACACAGATCCAAAAATTGTGACGATTTCCCCACATTGGCTTCATCCATCCACGAACCCCCTTTTGTAAATTGTTGTTAATCAGGAGGAATTGCTTATCAATGTGAAGTTTGAAATTTATTAGCTAGCATTATAAGAGAGCAAGGCTGAGAAGCTCAAATTTTTATGGAAGAAGGAAAGAGCAGAAGAGAATTTTCTTTAATAATTCTGGGAAAAAGTATGTAATATTCTTCATCTTCAGTGATATAACTGACTTTTTTTTTTTTTAAGATTTTATTTACTTATTCGTAAAAGACAGAGAGAGAGAGAGAGAGGCAGAGGGAGAAGCAGGCTCCCAAGGAGCAGGGAGCCCAATGCGGGACTCGATCCCAGGATCCTGGGATCATGACCTGAGCCGAAGGCAGACGCTTAACCATCTGAGCCACCCAGGCGCCCGATATAACTGACTTTTATTTAATGTTTATTTGCTACTTGAAGTGCTTTATTATATGTGATGTCTTATTTAATCCTCATAACAACCTTTTGAGATAGAATCTATAATTACCACCTTTTTTTATGGGAGGTGACTAAGGCTGAAAAGTTAAGTAACATGTCCAAGATCACAGTTAATAACTAGCAGAGCTGAGATTTGTATTCTGAAAGTCACTTGGGGCACCTGGGTGGCTCAGTCAGTTAAGCATCTGCCTTCGGCTCAGGTCATGATCCCAGGGTCCTGGGATCAAGCCCCGCATCGGGCTCCCTGCTCAGTGGGAAGCCTGCTTCTCCCTCTCCCACTCCCCCTGCTTGTGTTCCCTCTCTCACTGTGTCTCTCTCTGTCAAATAAATAAATAAAATCTTAAAAAAAAAGAGAGAGAAAAGTCACTCAGGAAAAAAGAACAGCTGTTCTTAGAGTATCCTGGGCTTTTTTCTCAGTTCAACAGAAGACTTAAAGAAAACCTTGAAATGGGGAAATTTTTGCCTTATTTGGCATAGTTGTATATGTTAGGTTCACACTGTGTTTAATACGGTGGTGAGTGTTGCTGGCTGTTCCTGTAAACATTTTAACAGGTCCTTCTAGGCATATATGTGATTTTTTTTCTGTCACAAGAATTTAATGCCACACATGTTGGGATTGATTGATTGATTGATTGATTGATTTAATTTTTTTTTTAAGTAGGCTCCACACCTAGTGTGGAGCCCAACTAGGGGTTCAAACTCACTACCCTGAGATCAGGACCTGAGCTAAGATCAAGGGTCCGACGCTTAACCAACTAAGCCACCCAGGTGCCCCATGGGATTTTTTTTTTTAAACACACTGGCTTCACCCATTTCATCAAAATTAGGGCAACATCATCACGTTTTAGCATGTGCCTGGTTTTCAGTGATACAGATGCACTACTATTTAATCATTTCCCCAGTTAGATTCTTTTCAGCTTTTATTCATTGTAAACCATACCTGTCAGCATACCTCTGCCAATATCTTTATATACATGTGCAAATAGTTTCTTTAGTCTTAGAAGTGGAGTTCTGGGAACTGGTTCATAGGGTTTACAGGGTTATAACGTTTAAATGCTGCTTCACATAGTTCTAAATTTGGTCCAACACAGTGCCCATTTCCTCGTGACCTTGCTAATCTGGGACATCATCAGTCTTTTAGACCTCCCAGCCCTGTCACTGTAAGAATATAATTTTTGTGTGTGTGTTTTACACACATCTCGTTAATTAGTAGTGATGCTTAGTATCTTTTGAAAGGTTGTTTCTTTCTTTTCTTTTTTTTTTTTTAGTGAATTGCCCTTGCTCAGGTTCCTCACAGTGAAGTAGAAATCTAGTCTTCAGAGGCAAAAACCAAAGTTGAAAGATGATTTTTTAGTTAGAGAAATGTGAACTCAGAACAAAGCTTTGCCACTTAATCATTGTGAATTTGGACAAATGATTTCACCCCTGAGCGTTGGTTTCCTGATCCACTGAGAGATGAGAAGAAATACATAGCAGAGCAGTGCTGAGGGTCATGGGGTGATGTACATAAGCACCCATCACGTAACAGTTCTCCATGAATGTTGTTGACTAAGTGCAGTGGTCATAGTATGAGAGGGGGGTGGTGCAAAGGATGTCACGGTGTGAGAGGTCCTGATTGGGAAACAGGGTAGTGAGTTGTTTGGGCTGGGGAAAGGCCAGTGGCAGCAGCTGCCAGGCTCAGTCTGTGTGGTTTTCAGGCTTCGTATTTAGGAAGTTCAGGCAGGATCCTGGGGGCTCAAGAGGCTGTATATGGGTGGTATGGCCCTTTCTCAGCCCTGAAAAGTACTGGAGGGAGGAGGAGTCCAACGTCAGGACCAGATCTACATTGCCAGATGGGGAATCCTCCGAAATATTCAGGCTTCTATACAAAACCCATCATTGTTCAGCTGGATCTTCTCAGGGCTTGGATTTCTTCAGACTTCTTATAGTCTCCTCTAGTTGTTGTGAGTATGAGATCAGGGTGGCTATAGTGGTGGAGAATAGTTAGGAAGTAGGAAGGGAAAAGAAAAAATCTCATTAACATAAGTCATTTTGGGATCTCCGAGTTACATTTGATTTCATGGCCTCTTTTTTTTTCTTCCAGATCTGGCTTATCAGGGCTCTGCAGTTCTCCAAAAGAGAAATCTTGCAAAGGACTGACCAGTTCTTGCATTTCGAAACCATGGCCCATGTAAGTTGATGTTCTTTTCTCCTTTTTGAAATATTGTTGATCTCTAGGTCATGTGTACATACTCATTCCTTATCCTGAAACTTCTTATTTAACAGAACTCTGCCCAAGAACTTGCTTTAGTTACTTTCAGTCTTGTGAAGATTGGGGACAGATAACCCAGTGTCCTTTCTACGTGCCCTTCCCTCTTCTGCACTAATGTGGACCATCTCCTAGCTCCAAAATCTTCTGTCAAGAGCCATGAGGGAGCAAAAGTGAAATGCCTTGAGAAAAATGTAGGCGTTCTCTGTAGAATGTCCGTCCCCTTGTTAACATTTTCCAATAGAACAGCTTTTGATTTTAAGATTTAAACTTCAGAGAAAGTATATTTCTCTGAATACAGTGATTTTTAGTCTGGTTTTTATGTAGGAAAAATTTGTGTCCCCAGTACACAATTTGACATCTTTTCAAAGTTTTTGAGCTTTTTATTGACATGTAAATAGAGAAAAGTGCACAAGTCCTAAGTATGTAGCTGAATGAATTTTCATAAATTGAGCATATCTGTGCTATCAGCACTCAGGTCAAGAAAGAGAATATTGCTAGTACCTCAGATGCCCCCCTTTCAGTCACTGCTTGCCCACCCAGCCCAGATATAACCACTATCCTGAATTCTTTTTTTTTTTTTAAGATTTTATTTTATTTATTAGAGAGAGAGAGAGCTCATGAGTGGGGGGAAGGAAAGGAGGGAGAAGCAGACTCCTTGCTGAGCAGGGAAGCCCAATGCAGGGCTCGATCCCACAGGACACCAGGATCATGACCTGAGCCGAAAGCAGCTGCTTAACCTACTAAGCCACCCAGGCGCCCCCACTATCCTGACTTCTAACATTATAATTGAATTTTGCGTATTTTTAGAACTTTAAATAAGAAATTGTATAGTTCAATACAACCTTTTTTAACAAAAAATACTGTGCAAGAGAGTCTTGTTATATTTCACATATAATTGCTAGACTCTCAGAACCATCTGCACATGTTTTGAGATGCATGCAAATATGTGTGTATCTGGTGCTGCTGGTGAGAATGGAGGTATCAGAGCATCATACTGAGTGTGCGTCATAACTGAGTGTTAGGTTCTTGTTGAAGTGCATTTTCATAGTGCACTTAACATGTAGTTCTTGTGTAGTGTAAAATGAGTTTCCAAAAAGTTGGGGAAGTACTGAAGAAATTGTGGGGAAAGACACAAAGCAAGTGAGAAAAGTGAATTCAGTAAAAGAGACAATGAAAATACTAAAGCTAAAGATAAGTGTGCAATAACTAACCCATGTAATTCTATACTGGAGGGAGCTGTGAGGCTATTTGGAAGCTTGGAATTGATGTATAATGCAATGGAGTTCTTTGCTTTAAAATGATGGGAAAATAGGTACTTGTTTAATAATGTAGTGTTAGAATGTCTGATATTCGGGAATGGGTTATTGATATTAAGTGGGAGGTCCTTGTTTTGAAAACTTTCCTTGAAGATTGGTGGTTTGATGGAAGAGAGAATTTGGTCCTGTTTGACTGCCTAGAGGGAAAACTCCAAACTTCTTCACAGATGTGAGTTTTCCAAGTACATAAGATGAGATTTAGTGTTGGCTGGTCTCAGTCTCTGTATGTGTTGAGATCTTATGGTATGCATGTAAGGCTTTTGGGATGGGGTGGATTCGTTAGGGATGTAATTGGGGCCTTACACTGTAAGGCCTAAAATTTCATATGCTGACTTGATATCTTAACAGGGCTCCAAAGGCCCAATCATGAGTTTCCCTGCTTTTGCCAAATCAGTTCTCCATCCAGCAGAAAAGACTTCCACCTGGCTAGCTTTCCTATCAGGCAGATGACCTAAACCCCTCCTGGTCCTCACTCTGAAGGGTGAGGACCTCCCTGCCGGCCCACAGAATTACTCAAACAAACCAGTCACGTCCTCCTGCGGGAATCAGGGACACCTTACCCTCTTTTTATTACAAAGCCTGCCTCCCACAGACCCTGCTTGTTCACTCCATTCCTGAGTGCAACCCCTGTGTGGCCCTGCATGACGTGTGGTGTTCTCCTCCCCTGGGCTGTGAGTATACATGTCTAATAAATGCTGTCAATCTCATCTGTCCAGTGTCAGGCATTGAGCCACCTCATAATATTTAGGGCAGGGGATCTCTCCCTCACCAGTGGGGTGATTGGGAGGTAATCAGAACAGAACTGCAAAGAGAGATCAAGAATCATCTCCAGCAAACCCTGAGAGAAGAACACCAGGAGCAAAGTCCATTGTGTAATTTTATGGGATGTACGGGTTTAGAGCAAGGTTTCTCAACCTTGGGACTATTAATATTTTGAGCCAGAGAATCTTTCATTGTGGGGGCTTGTCCTCTGCATTGCTGGATATCTAACGGTATCCCTGGCCTTTACCAATTAGATGCCTGTAACACACCCCCTCCCCCTTAGTGGTGACAACCAAAATTGTCTCCAGACATGGCCAGATGTCTTCTGGGGAGTGAAATCACTCCTTATTGAAAACCACTGGTCCAGAGTGACATCATCATGGTTCAGTATCCTCTAACTCAGGAATGAGGAAGGGTGTTCAGTGAGGGATGACGGATAATAAAGACTAAGAAGGTCATCCAGATGCATAAGTAATAGATAATGTAGGCTGTGAGAGCTGAGGAAGATTTTTGAAATTGAACTGAATTAAAATATCTAAATCGAAAAGAAAAAGACTGAATCTGATATATTCAAAACGTGGACTACCATGTAGCAATTTCTTTAAAGTTGACTAAAGAAGTGGTCCTTATAGGGAAAATGTAAGAAAATCTGACTTTATGATGAGCTTGAGTCCATTTTCTTAGAAGAGATATTGTAGTACATTTGGGAGAAGTTTTTATCAATATTTTTTCACGATCATTAAAGGGAAAAGAAGGGGGAAGACGTTTCCCATGAATTTGTTGTGGAGACACAGAGCTTGTAGAAGTCTTGTGTTTAGGGTTTCATTTAATTGGGACTTTTTTTTTTGCTTATTTTATTCATTTCCAGATATTTTGGGGTAAAAAGTTCATCTTACCTGCAGCCACAGGACTGTTTAAGACATGTAGAACTCTCCTTCAGTGATACTGATTTTCTTACCGTCCCCGACACATAAGCCGTACCCCATTTGCTTGTTATGTGAACCCTTCTCTGCATTGCAGTCCTCGATCTCCTCCCTTTTCATTTAAAAAATATTTCATTTATTTTCACAGGTAATACATGAGTCTTATTTTTTCAGGGTTCAGTGACATTCAGGGACGTGGCCATAGACTTCTCACAGGAAGAATGGGAATTCCTGGACTCAGCTCAGAGAGACTTATATAGGGATGTGATGTGGGAGAATTATAGCAATTTCATCTCACTAGGTAAGGCTATTTATCCCAAATTCTGTTGACTTTCTCTACTGTCAATTTTAGGAAAATGTTTTGAGAAACTAGATAAATTTTTTTCTCTCTGTTCCAAAGGAATGGTTTTAGCTTTGTTAGGTTGGAAATAGGCTCCACCATTTAATACTTCATCACTTTCATCCGGCTATGCCCTTCAGATTTTTCTTCAGGCTCTGTAATTTACTTGTTTCATTGGTATCCAAGGGCTGGGCTTGAATTCTGGGTTGCTTACAACAGAAGCATTGTCCAAGAAATCAGATTTTACATTATATTTGAGCCCAGAATTGATACAAATTCTTAACACTCCTTTTTAATCCACCTGCAAGGAGAGTACCTAAACACAGGGATTTTGAGTCTCTCTAAAAATCAGGGGAGCCTATAGAACTTACAAAGTATGAAATGGATCCACAAAGTTCGTTTAAAACTCAAGTAAACACATTCTGTTTCCTATAACAGACATATTCAGTTCTACCTGCTCTGCGGTTGAAATTTAAAAACTAAGAACTTTGCATTTAATATTGAATAAATAATCCTAGAAAGGATCAGAAGAAGTACACTCCTGTCAGCAAATTGATAACAATAAAAATAGCCAATACACACACATAGGTGTGTGTGTGTATGTGTGTTTGTGTATATATAACTTTATATATTTGTACTTGGATACTATCCTGAGCATTATGCATTATTAATTCTCACAACTCTATCAGAAATATACTATGATATCCTCATTTCAGATGAGAAAAGTTAGGCATAGAAGGTTAATAATTGGCTGAGGTAACACAGCAACAAAGGCAGGATTTAAACTCAGGCAGTCTGGATCCAGACTCTGTGTTCTCAACCACTACACAAGACTACCTCTCAACAGAGCTAGTATGAGTTTAAATTATATTAAGGCCTGTTCTTAACCATCTGTTCCTTGTGCTCCTAAAGTTACCCTAATATGAGTGCTCTTCAACTCCCTTGCATTTTGCTCTTAGGCTTTATAAAGTACCATTTTGATCTGTAGTTAATCACGAACTTAACCAGATTTGAACCTGACTTTTGGGCTTATAATTTCATGTCACATTATCTTTTAAGCAGAACCTTCCATTTCTAAACCAGATGTGATTACCTTATTGGATGAAGGGAAAGAGCCCTGGATGGTCGTGAGGGAAGGGACCAGAAGACACTACTCTGGTGAGTGAGGGCTGAGCAGGATGGGGAATTAATTACTGCAGATAATTAGCCAAGCCTGTTAGCCTTGAGATGTTGTTGGAAATCTCTCTTCAGAAGCCCATGGCCTGCGGAGGAAAGGCCTGAGACCTGGGAAGCAAATTAAAATCTTTTAAACCTGGACACCAAAGGAACTTCATATTGATCTTGATTACAACTCTGTTTTTCTCATTTCTCATATTTTTCTCCTACTTCAAAGAGAGGAGCTGTTCTCAGTAGAAGAAAAAAAGATGACAAACATAAGAACTGAAATCAACAAGATAGAAAAAGTAGAGAAAATTAATAAAGCCAAAAGTTGATTCCTTGAAAAGATCAACAAAGTTGGTAAATACTAGCTTGACTCATCGAGAAAAAAGAAAAAAGACAACAACAATTGCTAATACTAGGAATGAAAGAGTAACTGGGTTATCACTTAACACCCTGTAGGCATTAAAAGAATAGTGAGAGAATACTATAAATAATCTTATGCCAATAAATTGGACATCTTAAATAACTCCTTGAAAAACATAATTACCAGAACTGATACAAGATAAAAAAAAAATGAGTAATCTTATATCTATCAAAATAATTGAATTCATTATCAGAAATCTTTCCACAAAGAAAACACCAGGTTCAGATGGCTTCATTGGTGAATTCTATTAAATACTGAAGGAAGAACTAGCAGCAGTGTTACACAATTTCCTTCAGAAAAGGAAAGAACAGTTCCCAAATCATTTTCCGAAAATAGTGTAACTCGTATACTGTGTCCTGACGAATTACTACAGGGAAAAAAAATTACAGGCTCATTATCCTTCATGAACATAGATGTAAAATCCTTGAGAAAATATTAGTAAATTAAATCCAGCAATAAAAATGATAATCAAGTAGGGTTTATCCCAGGAATGCAAGCTTGGCTTAACATTCAAAAATTAGTGTGAAAAAAATTAATCCGTCATTCACCGTATTAACAGGAATGAGAGAAACCATGTGATTGTGTCCATAGATATAGAAATCGCATATGACAAAATTCAGCATCCATTCATGATAAAAATTTTCAGGAAACCAGAAATTGAAGAGAACTTCCTCAAAAAATACTGCTTAAAGAAAAACACTACATCATAAACTTCATCATACTTTTTTTTTTTTTAATTTTTATTTGCGAGAGAGAGAATGAGAGAGAGCACGAGAGGGAGGAGGGTCAGAGGGAGAAGCAGACTCCCTGCTGAGCAGGGAGTCCGATGTGGGACTCGATCCCGGGACTCCAGGATCATGACCTGAGCCGAAGGCAGTCGCTTAACCAACTGAGCCACCCAGGCGCCCTAAACTTCATCATACTTGATTGAAGAATTTCCCCTCTAAGATTGGGGACAAGGCAAAAGTGCCCACTTTTCCCATATCTATTTTTTTTTTTAAAGATTTTATTGATTTATTTGACAGAGAGAGACACAGCGAGAGAGGGAACACAAGCAGGAGGAGTGGGAGAGGGAGAAGGAGAAGCAGGCTTCCCGCCAAACAGGGGGCCCGATGCGGGGCTTGATCCCAGGACCCTGGGATCATGACCTGAGCCGAAGGCAGACGCTTAACGACTGAGCCACCCAGGCGCCCCTCCCATATCTATTTAACATTGTATTGAAGGTCCTAGCATTGCAATACGGCAAGGAAAATAAGAGACATAAAATCAAAAAGGAAGAAGTTAAACTCTTGTTTGGAGATGGCATGATTATGTAGATGGAAAATCCTAACGAATCAAAACAGCAGCTACTCAAAGTAATAAATGAAGATCACAGTAAGATCACAGGATACAAAGTTAATATATAAAAATCAATTGTGTTTTCATATACTAGAAGTGAAAAAAATAAGGAATTTAAAGTAAAGTAAATTAAGTCAATTAAGATTAAAAGCAAATTAAGTTAATTTACATTAGTGTCAAAACCCAAAAATACTAAGGAATAAATTTAACAAAACATGCAAGACCTCCACACAAAAAATCATAGAACATTGCTAAGAGAAATTAAAGACCTAAATAAGTGTAAAGAGACTGTTTGGGGATGGGAAGACTCAGTATTGTTAAAATGTCGGGCGCCTGGGTGGCTTAGTTGGTTAAGCGACTGCCTTCGGCTCAGGTCATGATCCTGGAGTCCCTGGATCGAGTCCCGCATCGGGCTCCCTGCTCGGCAGGGAGTCTGCTTCTCCCTCTGACCCTCCCCCCTCTCATGTGTTCTCTCTCATTCTCTCTCTCTCAAATAAATAAATAAAAAATCTTAAAAAAAAAAAATTTAAAATGTCAATTTTATAGTTTTAACAAGCTGATTCCAAAATTGATATGGAAAAACAATGGTCTTAGCATTTCTAAGATAATCTTGGAAAAGGAAGAGTATATTATAGGACTTAGACTACATGACTTCAAGATACTTCAAGATTCATTATAAAACTACAGTAATGAGGGGCGCCTGGGTGGCTCAGTTGGTTAAGCCTTTGGCTCGGGTCATGATCCCGGGGTCCTGGGATCGAGCCCCACATCGGGGTCCTGGGATTGAGCCCCCATCAGGCTCCCCCTGCTCTGTGGGGAGTCTGCTTCTCCCTCTCCCTCTGCCTGCAGCTCCCCTGCTTGTGGCTCTCTCTCTCTGTCAAATAAATAAATAAAAGCTTAAAAAAAAAAACTACAGTGATCAATGGGCGCCTGTGTGGCTCAGTATGTTGAATGTCCAACTCTTGGCTTCAGCTCAGGTTGTGAGGGCGAGCCCTGCATCAGGCTCCAGACTCAGTGGGGAGTCTGCTTGAGATTCTCTCCCTCCGTCCCCCGCTGACATTATCTCTCTGTCTCTCTCAAATTGATAAATCTTAAATAAAACTACAGTAATCAAGACATTGAGTATTGGATAAGGATAAACAGACAGAACAGAACAAAGACCTTAGAGGTAGAACTCACACTTAAAAGATCATTTATTTTTTGACAAAGGCACCAAAACATTCCAATGGGGAAGGGAAAGTTTTTTCAACAAATGGTGCTGGATAACTGGGAAAAAAATCCTGACCCCGTACCTCCTCCCCAAATTAAGATGTATTTTAGACCTAAATATAAAAACTAAACATAATATAAAAAGCCAAATATAAAAGCTAAACTTGAAAAATAAAAATTTTTTAAATTCAATATAAATTTTATATAAAAAACATGAAAGCTAGGGATGCCTGACTGGTTCAGTCAGAGGAGCATGCAACTCTTGATCTTGGGGTTGTGGGGTGTAGAGATTACTAAAAATAATAAGAAAATAAACTTTAAAATAAATGAAAGCTAAATATAAAGCTTTTAGAAGAAAACTAGGAGAATTTCTTGGTTTGAATATTATACTATGGTTATGTAAGATGTTAACATTGAGAGAGGCTGGGTGAAGGTTGCGTCAGACTTTCCTGTATATTTCTCTGCAGCCTCATAGGAATCTACAGTTTTTTCAAAATAAAAAGGAAGCAAAAATGTCCCATTAGGGATGATGGGTAAAAAATTTGAACAAAGAGAGGGGGTACTCCTTTTTATTGTCAATGACTATAATTCATTTATATATAAATCTGTGTTAGCTTGAGCTGCCATAACAAAATACCATAGATTGGGTGACTTAAACAACAGAAATTTGTTTCCCATCGTTCTGGAGGTTGGAAGTCTGAGATTAGCATTTGGGGGCTCTGATGAGGGCTCTCTTCCTTTCTGGCAGATCTTCCCTTCTCACATTGTCCTCACATGGCAGAGAGAGAGGAGGAGGAGGAGAGAGGGAGAGAGACCTCCTATAAGGCCACCAGTCCTATTGGATTAGGAGCTTTATGACTTCATTTAACCTTAATTGTCTTCTAAAAACACTATTTCCAAATATAGTCAGGGTGGGTGGTCAGGGCTTCAATGTATAATTTGGGGCGGGACACAATTCAGTCCATAGCAATATCTATCTGTATAGGATCCAGTTTCTTTCTGGCTTCTGTTTTGATTAGTTTATATGTCTTTTGTTGTCTACAAATATATTCGTTCATTGAGTACCTGGTCGGAACCATGAACTGTGCTAGCCACTGGTGGAACAACTGTGAACAAGAGTGGTAGGTTCCAGCAGTCATGTTTACATTTTAATAGGAGTAAGGACATGAAGTAAACAAGTAAATGAATAAATAATATTAGGTGGTGACAAGTATTATTAAGTGAGAAGAGCAAGGGAATAGAAATTGGCAGGTGTAGACACATTTGTGTTAGGGTGGTTAGGGCTTTTTAAGGAGGTGATATTTGAGTGGAGACATGAAAAAAGAGCTCAAGTTATAGGAATATCTAAAGCCAGAGCAGTCCTGATAGAACAGCACATGCAAAGGCCTTGGATCAGGAGATAAGTTTTGTATGTTTGAGGAACAGCAAAAAGGCCAGAATGATGATTATTCAGAGGTAAGGCATGTGACTTTTAAATGTGAAAAAAGCCATTGGAAACTTTTGAGCAGGGGAATTACATAAGCTGATCTGTCTTATAATTATCACTCTATGGAGAACAGATTGAATAGGGGCAAGATGGGAAGGAAGACCAGTTAGGAGGTTATTTCTTTTGTCCCGGTTGAAGATTATAGTGGTTTTGATTGGAATAGTAGTGATGGGAGGTAGAGTTAGATTCATGGTAGATGTGACCAGTACATGTTGGTCTGCTCCTCTGTCTGGATACTTTCCTCACCTTACTTGGATTTCAACAACCTGCCTGGGGCTGCCCTGATCGGTGGATGCCCTCTTTACCCGGATTGGACTCCTCACACAGCGTCCTTCCCCCAACATGGATAAGAAGCATCTTTGTCCTTTAATTGATATTATTTTATCCATCTACATTTAAGTCATTTTCTTACGTATTCAGGTGCAAATCTACTATCTTCCTAATTTTTTCCATTTGTTCAACTTATTCTTTCTTCCTTTTCTTCCTCTCCTGCCTTTTCTGGATTAATGAAATGTTTCAATTTTAGCTTTGCCTCTTGAGTGTGTTAGTTATGTATACTTTTAGTTTTCTTCTCAGAGTTGCCCTAGAGATTAAAACATGGATTCTTTACTTACTACATTGTACCTTAAATTAATTCCTTTATATCTTTCCCAATATTGTGAAGATATTAGTAACATTGTATTTATTTAGTTTTATTTATTTATTTGAGAGAGAGAGAGCACAAGCAAGGGGAGCAGCAGAGGGAGAGGGAGAAGCAGGCTCCCTGCTGAGCCGGGAGCCTGATGCAGGGCTCAATCCCAGGACCCCAGGATCATGACCCGAGCCAAAGGTAGACGCTTAACAGACTGAGCCACCCAGGTGCCTCAATATTTATTTAGATTTACCTACATGTTTACCTCTTACAGTGCTCCTCATTTTTTTCTGCACTGCCATGCTTCTATCTGGAATCATTTTCTCTGTACCTGAAGAATGTCCTTGAATATTTCTTTTATTGTGCCTCTTGGCAATGAATTCTCTTAGGTTTTGTTTGAAAAAATATATATATTTTTAAAGATTTTATCTATTTATTTGACAGAGAGTGAGAAGGGCAACACAGGCAGGGGGAGTGGGAGAGGGAGAAGCAGGCCTCCCGCCGAGCAGGGAGCCCGATGCGGGGCTCGATCCTAAGACCCTGGGATCATGACCTGAGCTGAAGGAAGACGCTTAACAACTGAGCCACCCAGGCGTCCCTGAAAATATTTTTCAAGGGTACAGAATTTTGTCTTTGTTTTTGTTGGATAGAATTCTGGATTGGCAGTTATTTTCTCTTAGCAAATATCTTGTCTTTTGGCTTCTATCATTTCCATTTAGCAACAATTTGTTGGTCATATTGTAATTCCTTCCAAGGTATTGTTTTGGAAGTATTTTTTTTCCCTTATGACTGCCTTTAGAATATTCTTTCTTTGGTTTTCACAGATTTACTGTGGTGTATCTAGTTTTATATCGTGATGTATGTATTCTGTTTGCTGTTTTAAAGAATTAAATTAGGCTTCATATCTTGTCAGTTTTGAAAATTTTTTGGTTATATTTTCAAGTATTGTTTCCCATTTTTGCTTTTCTTTCTGGGACTCAGGTTACACATATGTTAAACCTTTTTAAATTGTTGCATATATCTTATGTTCTTTTCTGTTTTTTCTTTTTTTCTTATTTTTTATTTCTGTGCTGCTTCTATAAACCCATTTCCTAGTTCACTGATCTTCTTTTCTGCTAAGTCTAATCTACTGTTAAAGAAAGTCTAATCTACTGTTAAAGATATCTGTTAAATTCTTAATTTTAGCTATTGTATTTTTCAGTTATGAGATTTCTATTTGGAGATATATATATACACATATATACATATTTTTTATACATACATGTAAATGTATGCTTTTTAAAAAGATTTTATATATACATATATAATTTGTTTTGCTTTTTTTGAGAGAGATTGGGGGGGTGAAGGAGAAGGAGAGAGAGAATCTTAAGCAAGAATCTTAAGCAAGCACTCCCAGTGTGGAGTCTGACACAGGGCTCGATCTCACAACCCTGAGCTCATGACCTGAGCTGAAATCTAGAGTCAGATGCTTACCAGAATGAGCCACCCAGCACCCCTCTTTTTTTTTTTTTAAGACTTTATTTATTTATTTGACAGAGAGACACAGCGAGAGAGGGAACACAAGCAGGGGGAGTAGGAGAGGGAGAAGCAGGCTTCCCACGGGGCAGGGAGCCCGATATGGGGCTCGATCCCAGGACCCTGGGATCATGACCTGAGCCGAAGGCAGACACTTAACAACTGAGCCACCCAGGCGCCCCAGGACCCCTCTCTTAATAGACTTCATTTTTAGAGCAGTTTTAGGTTGACAGCAAAATTGAGCAGACGGTGGAGATTTTCCACATATTCCCTAAGAGTGCATTATTTTTGCAAATTAGTGGGAATTGACATCTTTTTTTGTGTTTACGTTTTTAAAATACTTTATAAGTCTAGTTAATTAATGAAATATAATTTATGTACATTAAAATTCACTCTTTTTAGTACCTAGTTTTATGAATTTTGAAAAATGATACAGTTATGTAACCACCATAATCAAGAGTTTAGAATAGTTTCAAAGTCTCTTCATGTTTCATAGTGATGAGACTTTTGAGTCATTTCAGCAGTTTTATACATTTGTACTGTAGTCATAGAAAAAAACCTTTCTTATCTCTCCTACCCACTTGTCCCCATATTTTTGCTTATTTCATTCAACTTTTAGATTTTCTCATGCAAGTTCCCCATTATCTTTGGATCATTAGTTTCGAGCCTATATCCAACATAGCCTTTATTTTTACTCTTTTGCACTCAGGTGATCCCAAGTACCATTCCATATTTGACAGTCATTCTCCTATACTCAGTATCTGCCCATGCCTTTTTGCTCAGGATTTCATAAGCCTTTCAATGTTAGGATTATTGAAAGATACTTGAGGTAGTTTTCTGGGAAGTACAAACCTTGCTTTAGCTATATAGAATGGGAAGGAACACCTGGAGGAGGTATGAAGGAACAAAAATTTGAGTAAATGTAGCACTGATAAGTAATAGTATAAACTCTAGTGGAGAAAAGTAAAACATTGTAGTACGTTTTTTTTTTAGGTAAACACTACTCCCAACATGGGGCTCAAACTCACAACTCTAAGATCAAGAGTCACATGCTCCACTGACTGAGCCAGCCAGGCGCCCCTATTGTAGTACATTTTAAAAGTTTAGAAACAGATGTACATATTCATTAGTGATTATGTAATTATGGGAATAAATGAGTAACATCCATTGTGTATTTGGGGTTTGTTATTTAATGGTAAATGGACTTTACAGATTGTTTCTGCCACTAGGGAAGCTTAGGGGTAAGAAACTAACAGAATAACAAATGAGAAAATTTATAAATATTCCAAAATTGGGACAAAGAAGAGCAACCTGTTGCTGGGATGGAATATAGAGTGCATAGTTTTGTTTTTTGTTTTTTGTTTTTAATTTTATTTATTTATTTGACAGAGAGAGACAGTGAGAGAGGGAACACAAGCAGGGGGAATGGGAGAGGGAGAAGCAGGCTTCCCACGGAGCAGGGAGCCCGATGCGGGGCTCAATCCCAGGACCCTGGGATCACGACCCGAGCCGAAGGCAGATGCTCAACCAACTGAGCCACCCAGGCACCCCAAGAGTGCATAGTTTTAAACAGGATCAGCAGGAATGGCTTTTTGGAAGAAGTGATTTTTGATTGAGACCTGATGATGAAGGGAAGCCAAGCATGCAGGCAGAGGATTTCTCAAAGAAGGAACAACCTATGAAAGGTCCTATTTAATGGGAACAGTGGTAGTGCCTTTTGTGAGCTGAAAAGAGGCCTTTGTGGCATGAACAGAGAGAGTAAATGAGAGGCGTTGATAAGCAGTTAAGCAGCTTATTATCCATGTTCTGGTATTTATATTTGATTCTAAATATAAAGAGAAAGCATTAAAAACATTTAAGTAGAGAGACTCAAATATTGATCAGCATCAGAATCATTTGCTGGAGAATTTAAATAAGTACAAAACAAAAACATGCCCAGGACTTAATCCTGTAGTTTATGTTGCAGTCTGTTAAAAATGCTTCTGTATAGTTTTAAGAAATCTTCAGGTGATTCTTATCACTGATGTAACTTCTTTCTCTAATCACCAGCCTTATCTCCAGTCCTGGACTCCATTCTCTGTGTTTCCTTTGCCTTTTTCCTCTTTTTTTAATATATGAGAATACAGTGTGTTCCATAATACAATTAATAACCCTCAATACAAATTAGTTTAATAGTGTTATGGAATAGGGAATGATAGCAGTATAATGTGAGAGTTAGTTGGTTCACAGGTCATTTTCCTACTTGAATGAAGCCAGAATAGAAGTAAACTTACAACATTCAGCAAGGCAAAGCGTTCAATGGGATATTTTATTGTTGGTGGCCCTTTCACCTCTATATGAAAAAAATCAGTAGTAAGTGTCTACATCCAGGACTTTCTTCCCAGAGATAGATGCCATCAACCTTGCATGGCTTCTAGCTGGAGACAGGTTACATTTTACCCTATTCCCACCTTAATGGTAGCCTTGCTGGCTCAGGGCTTTTTTTTTTTTTTAAGATTTTATTCATTTATTTGAGAGAGAGAGCACAAGCAGGGGCAGCTGCAGAGGGAGAGGGAGAAGCAGACTCCTCATCCTTACCGGGCAGGGAGCCCAACACGGGACTCGATCCCAGGAACCCCAGGTTCACGACCTGAGCCGAAGGCAGAGGCTCAACTGACTGAGCCAGTCAGGCGCCCCTCAGGGCTTCTTGTTCATTGCAATGTCTCAGCACCTGAAATCTAGCTTTTCCACTTTTCTGTGTGTGCATTTCAGTATCCAGGAAGTGGCCTTCAGCCGTGTTGAACTGCCTTTTGAGTTATCTCTTGAAATATCAATTATTATATTTGTTAGCGCTCTGCCAATAAAGTTGCATGGGTTTGAGTGGTCTTCTCTAGCCATTTTCTTCATAAACTCTTAATTTTTTGGTGTGTAATTTTGCAGAAGATAAGGGTTTTTTTAGGTACACATATGTGGTATTGTAGCAGAAATGCCTGTTTTAGAGATATCTAATCCATTCACTTGTAGTAAGCATTATTTTAGGTGCCTTTTATTTCTCTATAGAAGTTTTCTTTCTTCTGTCACAGGAAAATAGTGTGTGTTTGCCTTCTGTTTTCTTTCAGATTTGCAGTCCAGATATAGGACCAATACTTTATCTCCACAAAAGGACATTTATGAAATATATTCATTCCAGTGGGAGATAATGGAAAGAATTAAAAGCTGTAGTCTTCAGGACTCCATTTTTAGAAATGATTGGGAATGCAAAGGCAAGATTGAGGGACAAAAGGAACCACAAGAGGGATATTTTGGGCAAGTGAAAATTACTTCTGAAAAAATGACCACTTACAAAAAGCATAATTTTCTTGCTGAATATCAGAGAGTCCATAATGGAGAAAAGTTGTATGAATGTAAGGAATGTAGGAAGACCTTTATTCGTCGCTCAACACTTAGTCAACACCTGAGAATTCATACTGGTGAGAAACCTTATAAATGTAAGGAATGTGGGCAGGCATTTAGACAGCGTGCGCACCTTATTCGACATCACAAACTTCATACCGGTGAGAAGCCCTATGAATGTAAGGAATGTGGGAAGGCCTTTACAGTGCTCCAAGAACTTACTCAACATCAGAGACTTCATACTGGTGAGAAGCCCTATGAATGTAAGGAGTGTGGAAAGGCCTTCAGGGTGCATCAGCAACTTGCTCGACATCAGAGAATTCACACTGGTGAGAAACCCTATGAATGTAAGGCATGTGGGAAGACCTTTAGGCAGTGTACACACCTTACTCGACATCAGAGACTTCATACTGCTGAGAAGCTCTATGAATGTAAGGAATGTGGGAAAGCCTTTGTATGTGGTCCAGACCTTAGAGTACATCAGAAAATTCATTTTGGTGAGAAACCTTATGAATGTAAGGAATGTGGAAAGGCTTTTAGAATATGCCAACAACTTACTGTCCATCAGAGTATTCATACTGGTGAGAAACCCTATGAATGTAAGGAATGCGGGAAGACTTTTAGACTAAGGCAGCAACTTGTTCGCCATCAGAGAATCCATACTCGTGAGAAACCCTATGAATGTATGGAATGCTGGAAGACCTTTAGTAGTTACTCACAACTTATTTCACATCAGAGCATTCATATTGGTGAGAGACCTTATGAATGTGAAGAATGTGGGAAGGCTTTTAGATTGCTCTCACAACTTACCCAACATCAGAGTATTCATACTGGTGAGAAACCTTATGAATGTAAGGAATGCAGAAAACCTTTTAGACTGCTGTCACAACTTACTCAGCATCAGAGTATTCATACTGGTGAGAAACCTTATGAATGTAAGGAATGTGGTAAGGCTTTCAGACTTTATTCATTCCTTACTCAGCACCAGAGAATTCATACTGGAGAGAAACCCTACAAATGTAAGGAATGTAAGAAGGCCTTTAGACAACATTCACACCTTACTCAACATCAGAAAATTCATAATGGGGTTTAATATGAGAAAGCCTTCAATTGTACATTATGTTACAGAATATCTGAAAATTCATTTTTGAGAAATTTGCTTCATGCTTCAACTAAGCATAAGAAATTTTATATTATTGAAAAAAATATGTTGCTTTAAAAGCCATCTATCACCATTCAAACATTGTTTATCTTTAGCAAATTTGTATGAGGGAATAATATAATGAATGTAGGGAAATCTTTAGCCTTACCTATCATTATCCGCATTTCACTCCTTTATTACCAGTGTGTTATTGGACAAGGTACTTAAACTTCTGTGCCTCATTTTGCTCACTTGTAAAATGGTGATAATAGTACCTATGTATATTAGTTATTTATTGCTGTGTAATTACCACAAACTTAGTAGCTTAAAATAATATACATTATCTCACAATTTCTATGGGTCAGGTGTCTGGGCATAACTTTGTTGGGTCTTCTGCTTCAGGGTCTCTCACAGAGCTAAACTAAAGGTTTCGGCCAGGGTTCGGTCTCATCTGAAGGCTCAACAGGGGAAGGGATCCATATCCAACCTCACATGGTTGTTGGCTCTCGCACTGAGGTCCACAGTTTCTAGCTGGCTGACGGCTGACCTTAGTTCCGTGCCACATGGGCTTCTTCAGCATGACTGATTATTAAGTGTGCAAGCCAAGAGTGCAGTAGAATCTACTAGCGTCATAGAAGCTATAATCTTGTGTGGTCTAATCACCAAAGTAACACCTTTTAGTCACTTTTGCTGTATTCTACTGGTTAGAAGCAAGTTACTGGGTCACCCCACACTCAAGGGTAGAGGATTACACAAGAGTATGAATACCAGGCTGTAGGGACCATTTCAGAGTCAGCCTGCCACACTGTGTAATAGGATTGTCTTAAGGATTAAGTAGTTAATGTTTGGAAAAATAGCAGCCACATAGCATGTTTTCTGTAAATATTATCTACAATTGTTATCATTAGTGTTAGTGAATTCATATGAAAGGAATTTACTCTAGAAGTAGTAAATGTAGAAATGCCTCATGTCACTGCTCAGCACTTACTAAACTTAAGATAATTTATTCCAGATAAAATCTAAGAGGTTATATTGAATGTGGGAAGTTCTTCATCATTTGAGCTGCATCAATCATTTCATGCTGAAAAGAAACCTTACAAATGTCATGAATGTGAGGTTAAGAGTACAACTGTTGAAGAATCAGAAAAATACGAAATTATTTTCCCATAATAAATTCCAAAGAGTAAATGTTTTGCAATCCCTGTTGTCTGGCCACTGTTAAAGCTTAATTAGAAACATCAAAAAGATGACAGAAAGGAAACCAGTTGGAAATTTAATAATGTGCGCGCATGTGTGTGCGTATACATGTATGTAAAACTCATATAAAAGAAAGATCATCATTCCATTACAGGCAGTGTATGGTTTGATGTTCAAATTGCCCCATCTTCAACCAGTGGGAGTTGGGTCTTCTGACATGACCCCACTAGTAGTTTGATAGTTTACTTGGTTACAGCTGCACAGTTTGGTCAGCAATGGAAGATGCTTGGGCACCAACTCATCCTGAAAATTGGTAAGGGGAAAAACAAGCATTTATTTTGCTTTTTCCATGTGAACCAAGTTTCAGGGCCACCAAAAGCTGCTCAGATTAAAAGGTTTTTGTTTTGTTTTGTTTTTAAGAAATCCGTAAATACAGAAAGAATGATAGGATTAGAAAAATCACCATTTTCTAGTTCCCTAATGGAATAATGGGTCCAGAAAATGATCTTCAGTCGATATTAAAACTATTGGGTGGGGCGCCTGGGTGGCTCAGTCGGTTGAGCGACTGCCTTCGGCTCAGGTCATGATCCTGGAGTCCCGGGATCGAGTCCCACATTGGGCTCCCTACTCGGCGGGGAGCCTGCTTCTCCCTCTGACCCTCCTCCCTCTCATGAGCTCTCTCTCTCTCTCATTCTGTCTCAAAAAAAAAAAAAAAAAAAACTATTGGGTGAAATATTTTATAGTGAGAACTTTACAGTGGATTTATCAAGCTGACCACCTCTGAGCCCTTTGATCAATTTTAATCTCTATAAAAGTGGGACTATCAGACAATATCTACATCCTGATAAAATGCAATACAAAATACAAACCACTGCCTACAAAGCCTTATTGCCAAAACAGTGAACTGAAGGAAGCAAACCTTTGAATCAAACTCTTTAAAAACAACAATTTGGGGAATAGATGAAAAAAGTAAATGGCACCACAAGGAAGTAGCCAAGCAGATCCAGAATGCGTAAAATTCTAAGAAACAAATGACCCTGATTTCTTCAACTAATGAGTGGCATGAAAAAGAAAAGGGGAAGGGCAACAATTAACAGATTAAAAGAGACTTAAGAGACCCATCAACTAAATTCAGTACGTGGGCATTGCTTGGACCTAGTTTGAACAAAACGTAAAAAGATATTTTGGAGACAGTGGACATGCACTGAGTATTAGATGATATTTAGAAATATTTTGTTAGGGATGATAATGTCAACGTGGTTATTAAAAGATAAAAGGTTCTGTGTGTTAGAGATACATACTTATATATTTAAGAAATGGTAAGATATAAAATTTGCATTAGAATACTCCAGCAAAGGAAAAAGAATTGGCAAAGAGAGCTGGGAAGTAGGTTGGTAAAATGTTGGTAATTACTGACATGGAGTGGTTTGCTTTGGGGGGTTCGTTCTAATATTTCTACTTTTTTATGTGTTTGAAAGTTTCAGTAATAAAATGTTTAAAATCAAAACTGAAATTTATAGACTACTTAGAAATGATTGTTAATGAGATGTGTGCATCTAAACATGTTAGATGTCACCAAAGTTCTGTTCAGTGAGAAATTCATCCCCTTTAATGCATTATAAGGAAGTTTTATTTGTGGACCCAGTCTTCATCATCTTCACCTTATCCATAGCAGTCAACACAGAGCCTGTCACCTAAATAAATGTGTTAAGGGAGTGAATACTTACGTCAAGAAACCAGAAACAGAACAGAATAAAACCTACAAAAGAGAAGCAAAGAAAATAGAAATTAAGGACTAGACAGTATATTTAATCCAGTACTAATGATAAGATTTTGGAAGATCCAGTCAAGAAAAAGAAAATGAAAGATAATGCCTTTAGAATATTGACCGTGATAAAGGTGACATAGCTACAGATTATCCAGAAAATTTTGTTTTAATTACAACACAATACTATATATATGTGCTATATGTATTCTAATACCTAAAATATAGGTACCTTTTTTTTCTGTAGGAAGGTTATGAAAATTGACTCAAATAGACCAACAAGCAAATGTGTATGTATATATGAACTCCCTGCTTAAGAAAAAGTCTGATAGTTGTGCAGGTAAAAGCTTTAAGAAATAGATAATCCTTCACAAAATTCTACCAGTTAATTCTGCACAGCTAAAATAATCCTGATACAAACCTGAATGAAGATGGCTCCTAAAAAGCAAAATCTAGACCAGCTTCATTTATGAAGATTCTATTCATCTTAATTCTATTTAGAATTAATTACAAAATCAGTCTTCACTAATAGATCCATGTGTTTGCCTTTCCCAAGTTTCAGATATCTCCAGGAGAGCTGTGTTTAACAGAGTGTAAGACCTTAACCCAGCGTTCTCCACAAACTTGTTTTGGGATTTTCTAGTCCTTGATGATATTTGGGAAAAGATTTCTTAGGAAAATGTGTAAGTGCAGCAAAGCATTTGCTTGTGGGGAAATCCAAGTACACATCATCAGCTTGTCAAAAGATACAGTAAAGAGATTTTTATTTAACACAGTGTATCTCAAACTTACTTCACTGTGGAATTCTCATTCCCAGTATCTTCGTACCATCTTTAGAATGTGAACCACTTTGTTAGATGCTTCTATTACCACAATGAATGTCTTTAAGACCATCATTTCAGACATTACGGTGAGTGATTGTGTTGGCAGGGGATGAGGAAAGGGCACTTTTCTTTGTAACTCACGTCATATTCTGAAAGCTTCCTGCTTGAATCTTGAGGGCTAGTGCTTTTCTATAGAATGTAAAAGATTCTAGCTTGGTCCTTGATATGTATATATTAAACATGCTTAAATATTCTGTTAAATAGTGATTAGGACATAAATGATTTTTCATTGTAATAAAAATGCTATATTAAATATCATTTTGTGTATTTTCTGATTTCTTTGAAGAGTGAAGAATCTAAGGTGCATATCTAGAAGTGAAATTGTTCTCTGTAGGTTGTACAGACTCTCCACTTTACATGTTGCCAGATGGTTGCTCCATCACTGCACTAATTTTGCATTTCTCTAATCACTGAAACAAGCATCTAGATTTTCCTACTTCTGTTACTGGTTTCAGTATTTCCCTGATTACAAGTGACTTGAGCATCTTTTTTTTTTTTTTTTAAAGATTTTATTTATTCATTTGACAGAGATAGACACAGCGAGAGTGGGAACACAAGCAGGGGGAGTGGGAGAGGGAGAAGCAGGCCTCCCGCAGAGCGAGAAGCCCGATGCGGGGCTCGATCCCAGGACTCTGAGATCATGACCTGAGCCGAAGGCAGACGCTCAACGACTGAGCCACCCAGGCGCCCCTTGAGCATCTTTTTCATATGTGATTATTGGTCAGTCATGTTTCTCTTAACAGTGCTTTTTTTATTCATGCATTTTCTCTATTTCTTTGGGGTTATCTCATTGATTTTTCATGATATGTAAAATATTCCAGGTACTACACATTTATAAATATTGGAGTTATTTTCTCTCAAGGTGACTTGTGTTATGACTGTGTTATGGCATTTACTGTTTTGCTCACATTTTAAATTTAGATATAGTTTCATTCTCAACCTTACCAGATTATCTTACTCTTTCTATTTCTAGTCTTATATTTTTGTGCCATATGTTCATGGCATTTGCAAGTAGAAAAGAGTTCTCTCAATATTTATATTTATTTTATTTATATTTCTCATAGCAGTAGCTGGTATTTTCAGAATAATGTTGAGTATTAGTGGGGATACATTTCTCTCATTTTTTTCCAATTTAATGGAAATCATGTAACTGTTTAAACATTTTGTGTAATGCCTTTTGATTTAGAGTAGTCTGTTATTCATAACTATTTTCAGTCAGGCCCTATTTTACTTGATGCCTGCTAGATTTTGTCAGAAGCCATCTTGTCACCCGTTGGTGTGAACATGTTTTTCTCCTTTAATTTGCTGATGTGATGAATTATACAAATCTCTTGACAATTTCAAGGGTTCCTATGACCACTCTTATGTTCAGTAATTCGGTAGAACAACTCGCAGAACTCAGGAAAATACTGCACCTATGATTAGTTTTATTACAGTGAAAAGATACAAATTAGAATCAGCTAAAGGAAGAGATACATAGGGAAAACTATGGGAGGGATCCAAATGTGGAGCTTCCAGTCATCCTTTCCCTGTGGAGTTAGGGATGGCATTACCTCTTCCTGGTTATGACATGGGATAATTCCCACAGGAAAGCTTACCTGAGCCTTTGGTTGCCAGAGTTGTTCCTGGGGTTCAATTACATTCTTCCCATGAGGCTGATCTTTAGTCTCCAGCTCCTTCTGAAGGTTCAAACTCTTACCTTTAGTCTCCAGTTCCTCCAGAGTTCACAACTGATATGGTGTGTCCTAAAGCCCCCATCATAACTCACAGCCTAGACTGTCTGGTGGCCAAAGCTCCCAAGCAAGCAAAGATACTCCTATCAGGCAGGACATTCCAGGGCCCCAGAGATCATCTACAAGTCTAAAAATATGCTCTTGCTTGTAAGTAAAATGCTGTATGTTCATGCTCAAATGCTTTTGTTGAGAGGGTATTTGATATCATCACCTTGGGCTGACACCAAGAATCTCTGTAATGTGGGCTTGATAAGAGCAGAGCTATAAGTCAAAGGGAATTCTGTTTTGACTATATTCCTTTTTACCAATATACAAGAAAAATGTCTTAGTTCTTAGTTCTCCTTGGAAAAGGAGATGAGTAAAAATATCCTGTTACACCAAAGGATAGAAGGAAACATGTCATTAATTTTTCATGTACGTAGGTAATATATGCTTAATTGATTCTATTATATTTCCATTCTCTTTTTTAAAAGTCTGACATCTTTGTGTCTTTTTTTCTTTTTATTTATTTGGCGGGGAGGGGCAAAGGGAAAAAGAGGACTTCAAGCAGACTCCACACTGATTGTGGAGCCCAGTGTGGGGTCAATCTCATGACCTGGAGATCATGAGCTGAAACCCAAGAGTCAGATGCTTAACTGACTGAGCCACCCAGGCACCCCTGACATTTTTGTGTCTTAATGTATAATAATGGGGCCCGTCAGTCTCCCTGCTCAGTCTCCCTCTGTCTGCTGCTCCCCCTGCTTGTTCTCTGTCAAATAAATAAAATCTTTAAAAAAAAATGGGGCACATGGCGAGCTCAGTCAGTGGAGCATGCAACTCTTGATCTCTGGGTTGTGAGTTCCAGCCCCACACTGGGGATAGTAATTACTTAAAAATATATATACAGTAATATGGACTACAAAATTTAAGTTTCAAAATAGAGTTAAATTGTTGAATCAGAGAACAGAAATTGTATAAAAACTTGTATTTTCTTTTTTTTTTAAGATTTTATTTATTTGAGAGAGAGAGCATGAGGGGGGAGGGACAGAGGGAGAAGCAGACTCCCCGCCGAGCAGGGAGCCTGATGTGGGACTCGATCCCAGGACTCCAGGATCATGACCTGAGCTGAAGGCAGTCGCTTAACCAACTGAGCCACCCAGGCGCCTGTTTCTTATTTTTATTTAATCCTAATAATTATTACTAATTGCTACTGTTAACTAGTCCTATAGTTTTGTTTAAATGATAGTGTGGATGTGACAAAAGTAAATAAGACAGTAATATTTAACTTCAAATAAATCCTTTTCATATTAATACATGTGTATTATTATTATATATCGTATTGTTATGGGAAGCTTTTTGTTTCATATGGCTGAGCCCCAGCTTGCCTCTCTAAAAAGTTGATCATTCTAGGGGCATCTGGGTGGCTCAGTTGTTAAGCGTCTGCCTTTGGCTCAGGTCATGATCCCAGCGTCCTGGGATGGAGCCCCACATCGGGCACCCTGCTCAACTGGGAAGCCTGCTTCTCCCTTTCCCACTCCCCCTGCTTGTGTTCCTGCTTTCACTGTGTCTCTCTATATTTATTTATATAATAAATAAAATCTTAAAAAAAGAAAAAAGAAAAAAAGAAAAAGTTGATCATTCTATTATTCAGTGCCCAGTTCAGATTTAAGCCATGGTCCCAGATTTTGGCTCACACATGAGCACATGCACACACACACAATTTAAGCTAGACTTCCTATTTGCTATGCTACAAACTACATATCCCAGCGTATTTTGGTGGTTATCTTCTTACCCTATATTTCATCTCAAGTGGGAGGAGCAAGAGATTTTGATAAAGACATATTTGAAAGGAAAGGAAAACCAATAATCTGGAAGTGTCTATTCATTAAATTCTATATTCAGGTTTCATTTTTTTTTTTTTAATATTTTATTTGACAGAGACACGGCGAAAGAGGGAACACAAGCACAAGGAGTGGGAGAGGGAGAGGCAGGCTTCCCGCGGAGCAGGGAGCCCAATGCAGGACTCAATCCCAGGACGCTGGGATCATGACCTGAGCCGAAGGCAGACACTTAACCATCTGAGCCACCCAGGCACCCCTCAGGTTTCATTTTAATTGATTTCCATCAATTCCGTAAGTTTTTGTGTAGCTCTCTATTGAAGCAAGTCTTAAGGTCAATCTCAACTATGGGAAAGATGTCCCTCCTCTCTAAATATCTTGTCTTATAGGTCATATTTTTTAAAAAACAATAGGTTCTTCTACCTTTCCATTATTCAGGTGTATCATCCTTCAGACTTCTATCTCTTCAGTATCCCAATATTGCTCATGATTTCTCTGCTGTAACCAGTACATTCAGAACCTCAACCTCTGGGCCCTATTTGTTTTGTGGTAAGTACTGACATGCAACAAAAACCTTCAGTCTTACTTATTAGATATTTCAAAAAGAATATAAAAGAGTGGCCAATATGCACACAAAAGGATGCTCAACATCATTAAAGTTATCATGGAAATGCCAGTTAAAACCACAACGAGGGGGTTGCCTGGGTGGCTTAGTCGGTTAAGCATCCAACTCTTGGTTTCAGCTCAGGTCACAGATCTCATGGGTCGTGAGATCGAGCCCCCTTGTCAGGCTCTGTGCTCAGTGGGGAGTTTGCTTGAAGATTCTCCCTTCACCCCTCCCCTCACTCATGCACGCATGCACTAGTTCTCTCTCAAATAAATAAATCTTTAAAAAATAAAAAGCCACAATGAGAGGCACCTGGCTCAGTCAGTACAGCATCTGACTCTTGATCTCAGGATCATGAGTTCAAGCCCCATGTTGGGCATGTAACCTATTAAAAACAACCACCACAACAACAACCCACAATGAGACACTGCAACTCAAGCAATAGAATAGCTAAAATTAGAAAGATTGACCATACAGGCTGAGGATGGGGGAAGGAAAAAAAAGATTGACAATGCAAAGTGTTGGTGAGAATACTCCAATACTGTTTGTGGGAATGTAAAATGAAATGACCTCTGTTGAAGACAGTTTAGCATTTTCTAATAGGGTGAATTATAAACTTAAGAACTGGGGAATTCCACTCCTGGGAATATACCCACAAGAAAACCATATGCCCTAAGCATTCTAAGTGAAAGAGCCATACACAAATGAATACATACTGTAGGATTCCTTTCTGTGAAATTCCAGAAAATGCAAACTAATCTACAGTGACAAAGCAGATCATTGGTTGTCTGGGACCAGGTGTGGTGGGAGAGGTTAACTATAAAGGCCATGAGGAACTTTCTCAAGCAATGGAAATGTTCTGCATCATACTTGTCATGGTAGTTACATGGGTATCACCTTTCAAAATTCAACTGTACACTAAGTGTTATTTATTGTATATAAATCAATAAAGTGGATAAAATGACATCAAGCTGTACACTTAAGATTTATGCTCTTTGGGCACCTGGGTAGCTCAGTCGGTTAAGCGTCCAACTCTTGGTTTTGGTTCAGGTCATGATCTCAAGGTTGTGAGATGGAGCCCCATGTGGGGCTCTGTGCGCA